TCATGTTGGCCTCTGCTTCGTACATCAAAGGCTCCCACAGCCCCAGCACCGGTGAGAAAGTAGGAGACTCTCTGCATGGCACTGCCCACCCAGCGGCTCCCCCAGGCAGCCCCGCTGAGAGAGCTCCCTGGTGCCCCCCGCAGGAAACCCGAGTGTGCGCTCCCAGACCCCTGGGCCACTGGGGAGGGGCGACAAAGGGCGGTACATGCCGGCCTCACAGCCCCAGGGAGGGGTCCAGCCAGGGCCTAGCTGCAGGCACCCTGACCTCACCAGGACCCCCGTGGGCCTGATGCCCACCCTCCTGCCCCCACTATGTGAGTGGCAGGGCCCATGCTGGTCCCATTCAGGCAGTTGACCTGACCCACACCTCCCCCTCGATCATTTCCGGCCGCCTTGGGGCCATTCCAAAGCCCGAGGCCTGGGCTGCCAAGAATTCAGCTCCCGGGCGGAAGGTGCCAGGCACTGGGACGGGAGCCCGCACCCTGCCGGGAGCTGGGCCTGTGTCTTGGGGTGATCAGCCCCTGTCCCCTCACCGGCCACAGCTGCGTCCCCTCTGTGTCTGCACCACACACGGGACCTCCTTCCCCAGCTTCATCCCTCCCAGCCCGTACCCCAGATACTCGCACCCACCCCACTCACCGTTGCTCAGAGCCCTTGACCCCACTCAGTCCTGTGCTGAGGCCCTGGCTGGCCTGGGGTGGCCTTGGACAGAACCAGGGGGACAGGTGACACTTGCCAGATTTGAACAGGGCCCAGGACCCCATCAACCCAGAGAGGCCTCTGAAGGGAGGCGGCCCTCTCATCCACTGCCACTGGGGGAGGTACCAGCCTCAGCACCCCAGGTAACAGGACAGGCTGAGCTCCACAGGGTGGGCGGGACTGGTGCAGGTGGGGTTGCGTGGTGTGGGGGATGGGCCTACGCCCAAGGCCAGAGGGGCCCCGGGCTGAAAGAGGTGCCTAGGGGGCCCCAGCCAGAACCCCGACAGCTGGCCGTCGGGGGAAGCTGTGCCCAGCACTCTGGCCCTCGGCCTCTGTGGGGGCAGATTTGGCTTCTTTACCGTGGCCCAAGTTTCCCATCACCCCGGGGCCTGCTGGGCCTTTCAGGATCAAACTCATACAGTGCAAACGGGGCCTCGCTTCCCCTCCCAGGGTCGCCAGGCTTGGAGACGGAACAGTGGTAGGGCTTGGGCTGGGGGTGGGGTGTTCCCAGTCCCCGGTGGGAAGTGACCAGAGGCCCCAGAGGCAGGGCAGCACCGAGGCTCTTGCCCCCTGCCCCCATCCAGGCTGCTGCGCGGGTCTTTCTGGGACTGGAAAAAGGACCAGCCACGAAGGGGCCTCTGGCTGCCCGCCCCCGCTCACCCTGCTGTGGCAGCGCCCAGGCCTGTCCTAGTCAGTGCCTCTTACATAAGCAGCCCTGTGGGGGGCTCAGCTGCCGCTGGGCTCAGCTGCCCTGTCCTGCCCCCAGCATCACGAGCCTCCAGTGGGCTGTCCTTGTGCCCTGGGTGGAGGCCAAGCCAGGCCCATAAATAGGGGTCTCCCCGGTGGCCTCCGCGCCTCCTGCCTGCCTCTGCCTGCGCTGCCTGCTCGGCTCTGGGAGAATGGCCGCTCTGAACATGCTGTGGACAGGGCTGGCCCTGCTGGGGATCCTGGGGGTCCTGCAGATTCCAACCCAGGCCCAGGCCGCCCTGCAGCCCAACTTCCAAGAGGACAAGGTGAGGGGCTCCTTGCCGGGTCCCCAAGGCGGGACAGGGCCGTGTAGGGAGCAGGGTGCTCCCTGGGGCCCAATTTTCTCCCTGGGAAGGGGGTGCTGAAGGGAAGGAGGGCTGGACCGGCAGGAGGAGGCTGACCATGAGAGGCCTTCCCGGGCAATTCGCCAACCAAGATCTGGGTACATTACCCCCGACTGGCAGGGAAGAACCTGTGTCCACGAGCGCCCACACGGCACATGCAGACACGTGGATCACCTGCGTGCCCGTCATCCCTGACCCAACACGGTTAGCCCAACGAGCTCACGATGCCCAGGGAAAACAGGCACACCTTCCACACCTGGGTCCTAGGACACACCTCCGTGGGCGAGCGTGAAGATGGGGATGCTGCACAGGGCGGCCCCAGGGGATGGCCACAGCAACCGAGTGCGCGCGCGTTCGCGACCCTCCCCCCACTCCCCGCGCTCGCGCGCGCGCACACACATACACACACACACACACACACACACACACACAGCTGGCGGCGCGCTCCCCCTCGGGAGCTGTGGGAACAGTCGGAGTGGGTCTCGCAGCCCCGCGCCCTGCTCCGACCCCTCCAGGGACGGCCTCGGCGCCCTCTGGCGCCAGCTCCACGGCCAGGCAAGGCCGGACCCAGTGGAGGGGGCGGGGCCGGGCTGGAGAGGAGGGGGAGGGGGAGGAGGGGGAGGGGGAGGGGGAGGGGAGGGAAGGGGAGGGGGAAGGGCGGGGGAGGGTGGGGGAGGGGAGGGGACGGGAGGGGAGGGGGAGGAGCGGGGCGGCCACCATGGCGCGTCCGGGAGGGTCCCGGCTGACCAGGGTGGGGGACGTTCGCCGCAGTTCCTGGGGCTCTGGTTCACCTCGGGCCTCGCCTCCAACTCGAGCTGGTTCCTGGAGAAGAAGAAGGCGCTGTCCATGTGCAAGTCGGTGGTGGCCCCCGCGGCGGACGGTGGCCTCAATCTCACGTCTACCTTCCTCAGGTGGGCGGCGGGGCGGGCTTCTGGGGCCGAGAGCTCCCTGCCCATGGTCGCGGTCTAGGGACAGCCCCCACCCCTGCCTGACCCCTGACCCGAGGGTGACCTGCCCACAGGAAAGACCAGTGTGAGACCCGGACTCTGCTGCTGCGTCCTGCAGGCCCCCCAGGCTGCTACAGCTATACCAGCCCCCGTGAGTGGGGCCCCTCGCCAGACCCCAGGGTCAACTCAGGAGTGACACCTGCTGGTCGGGGACTCTGGGTGACACCCTGCCCTGCAGTACATGGAGGGGGGCGGTGATGGCTGCTCCGCCCCGGGATGGAATCTCCCCAGCTGTCTGCTGCCCCGTCCTGCTGCCCCCAAGGCTTCCCCCACACCTTCCGCAGCTCTCCGCCCCAGGACCTCGGGCCTCCTCACTCCCTGCCCGGCAACGACCTCCCCACTGCGAATCTCTCCTCCTCCCCCTCCTCCCGAGAGCAGTTTGGCTGCAGAGTTTGTGGCTGTCCCATGAACTCCCGATTTTCTGAGCCTGTGTGTTTGCTGGGCCCCCAGGACTTCTGGTTTGGGGCCGCTGGGCTGTGCTGGCAGGAAGCAGGGGGCTGGGGAGGGGCAGGGAAGGCAGCTGGACAGAGGGTGGAGCATCAGGGCCCTTCCCACGCCGGCCCACAGAGGGCGCCCTCCCCAGGGGTCCCCAACCCACCGCGGTTGTCTCCTGGGCCCCCAGACTGGAGCGGCAACCACGAGGTGTCGGTGGTGGAGACGGACTACGAGGCCTATGCCCTGCTCTACACCGAGAGCTTCCGAGGCCCCGGCCAGGACTTCTGCATGGCCACGCTCTACAGTACGTGCCCCACGCCAGCTCCCACCGCCCGGCCTGAGGCCCGGCCCACGGGGCAGCTTGGGGACTCCCCAAGCCTGGGGGTGGGGACCGAGCGAGGTCTCCCGGATGGAGGCCAGCGGTTTCTCCTTCTGCCCCAGGCCGCACCCAGGCCCCCAAAGCTGAGATCAAGGAGAAATTCGCCACCTTCGCCAAGGCCCAGGGCTTCACAGAGGATAGCATTGTCTTCCTGCCACAGACTGGTGAGGGGCCGCTAATCTAACGGGAGGGATTAAGGTCAGGTTACAGGCAGACACACAGTCTCCTGATTCGGGGGTGGCTGAGGCCTGGGGTTCATCCGGCCGACCGCCCACTGACTGGTACACGGCCTCCAGAGTGTGGGCGGTCTGTCCTCCACACCGTGCGTGACCTTGGCCTGAAGCACCCCCTCCCCGGGTTCACCACGCGCCCACTGTGTGCCAGGCCCCGGGTCGGCCCCCAGGATACATAGGTCCCCAGCCCGGTGGGGGGCAAGCCCTAGAAACAAAACCCGCGGGGTGGGTGTGCCCATGGGGACACAGGGACAAGCGCCCTGGGGCTCAGCACGGGGTTCCCGAAGTCTCAGCGCCCACGGCCTCCCTGGGGCAGGCAGCCTGCTCTGGGCCCAGGGAGAGACGGGACCTCCTCCTTGTTTGGAGGAGCAGGGCCAGGGAGCGGGGTGGTGTGATGCAGTCAGCAGTTTGAGGGTCAACCAAGATGCTCTCCAGGGCCGCGGGGGTTAGCGACAGGTGGGGGGGGGGAGGTGGCCTGGCCTGGGGCGCTGACCGCTGTCCCGGGCTTTTCTTGGCAGACAAGTGCATGGAGGAGAACACGTAGGTGAGTGGGGTGCTGGGGGCTGCCTTCACCCAGCAGTGCCCACCATGCGTTCCTTCACTCACTTGGTCACTCGGTGCGCGCTCCCCACAGCCCCACCCACCATGCAAGGCTGGTCCAGGCCCATGGGGCTGCTCCGAGGAGGAGGGGGCTCCACCGGGGTTCCGTGAGGTCGCTGGGGTAGGAGGGGCTGGCGGCTGGAACAGGAACCGGGAGGGGAGGGGAGGGGAGGGGAGGGCAGGGCGGGGAGGGCCCCATCAGGGGGTGGGGCCCTGGGACGGCCATTCCCCCGTGGCCTGCAGCCAGCAGGGGCCTGGGGCCCAGGGCCCGGACTGAGGTGCTGCCCGCCACACCGACAGGTCCTGCTCTCTTGGCCAGGTGACCCCAGCCCTCAGGACCTGGCCATGCTGCCCTGCTCGGCCTTTTCCTTCAACACCCCCAAGACCCCAGCCCCGGCTCCTGCGCCACCGGCCCTGCCCCCTCGGGCTTTATCCCAGCTCTGAGAATAAACTCCGGAAGCAAGTCAGCAGCCTGGCCTCTGTCTGTCTGTCCTGCAGTCGTTGCCCCCCTGGGCCTGGCTTTGGCAGGCCCCCGGGAGCTGACCGCCGCCCTCTTAGGTCTCCCTACCCCTTCTGTAAAATCTTGGAGGCTGGCTCTGCATGACACCCCCAAGGGGTGAGCAAGGGCCCGCTAGCCAGGCGCCTGGTGGAGTGGAAGACACGGCTGGGTCAGAAGCCAGGTCAGCTTAGGGGAAGCGCCGACGCGTCCCCGACCCACTCCACTCGGGGCCCTGATCTCACCACAGCCCCTCAAGGCCCAGCGGCGGCTGAGCCGGTTCTGGTCAGGTGCCCACAGCCCGCCCCCTGCCCCCCGTCCAGGAGAGGCCCGAGGCCCAGGGCAGTTTCTGAAGGCGTGGGACTAGTGCACTCAGGCTGGGCAGAGATACGGGTTTGCGGGGACCAAGAGGAAGGTGGCCGGAGTGTCCGTGCCCCCCTGGACCGGGACAGACTGACTGAGTGGGCTGGAGACAGGCCACCCTCCCATCTCCCATGGCTATCTGAGAGTCTCCAGTCCCCTGGTCTCTGGCCTGGGCCTCAAGGGCACGGCCCTGCCCGTTCGCCAGGCCTCTGGCACCAAAGCTGAGCCAGAGACCCGAAGCGCGGTCTCCCCTCCCCGCAGTCCCTCACCTTCTGCTAGCCCCCGGATTCCTGGCCGGCGTGGCCATTGTCAGGCCCCTGTCCTGGGCCCTCCTGGCTCACAATGTGCAGTGCCCACTGCAGCCTGCCCATCAGACCCCACCCAGGCAGACCTCAGCCAGGCCCTGCCCAGGCACCAAGGGTTGTGAGGCTCAGAGGTGAGGGTGAACTTCTGGGATGCTTCCTGGAGGAGGGGGCCTGAGGCTGTGCCTCAGCCAAGGGCTGGGGGCCACGTCCCAGAGGGCCTGCCGGGCCTTCGCCTCCCCTTGCTTCGGGCCATACGGCCCCTCCCCAGGAGGAAACACCTGGGCTGGCCGGGGGTGGCTGGAGGCCACTGGGCCAAGGTGCTCCAGGGTGCACCCCGATCGTGAGCCCATCACAGTGGGCTCTGTCCCAGCATGCCAGCGCCCCAGGGTGTCTTGAGGGCCTAAAGGCGCAGTGGGAGGGGCCACCTCAACTCTCCTACCCCGACCCTGAGCCCGTGCAGTCGACGAGAGACACCCTCCACCACGCTGCAGGTGCTGCTCATTGGCTGGACCCTCGCGCTGCTCGCGGCATCCCCAGGCCGGGCCCAGGTCCCCACCCAGGCCAACTCTGACACCAGCCAGGTGTGTCCAGACTTCCCTAGGCCAGACCTGCTCCTCACAGACAGCCTCTTTCTGGCTGCGTTCTACCCAGAGAGGCCGGAGGGCTGGGGTAGCCCAGCCCAGCGCTGCCCATACCCTCTCTGGCCCAAGCTTAGCTCATGTCTGGGGACAGGGGACAGAGCTCGCGTCCGTCTGCTCGTCCAGCTCGGGGTGGGTGTGCTGCGGGGGGCAGCAGGCCCCTCAGCCCCGCCTCTGGGTTGTGCTCACGGCTACTCCCCAGGCCTCAGACGGATGAGCGGCAGCTGCCCCCGCCCCCCGATTCCAGGTCAGGGAGGCTGCGGCACAGGGGCTGCCCCCCAGCTCTCCCTGTCCCCTCCCTGCAGTTCCAGGGCATCTGGTGCACGGCTGGGGCGGTGTCAGATGACCAGGGCTTCCTGGACTCCAAGGACAGCATGAAGATGCCCGTGGTCTTGGTGACCCCCTTGGCCAACGGCGACCTGGGCCTCAAGTTTGGGTACCCCGCATACGGGATCCCAGGAGCCCCACCTCGGACTGGCCGTAGGCCCGGCCGGCGTGAGGTCAGACGTGAGCCAGCAGGAGCCAGAGGTGTCCCTGACCCGTCAGGGAGCCAGAGCCAGGCCCGACCCTGACCCTGCGGCTGCGGGGGCCGTTAAAGCAGCAGCTGCAGCTCGCCTGCCCCCCGAGGGGCCCGCCTGAGGCCTGGGCGTGGAGGAGCAGCGTCCTCGCGCGCGCGTGCGCGTGCGCGTGGGTGTGTCTGCAGGGGAAACCGGAAGGCCCCACAGACCCCGCAACCCCAGGCTGTGTCCCCCTGCCCCCCAGGGTGTCTCCTGACCTGTAAGTAAATTATAAAGCACCTGTGTGATTAAGCATCGATGTGAGGCGGGGACAGGTGGGCCCTGGGACAGGCTGAGCACCATCACCCACGCACGGCCGTCGGCAGCACCTAAGTGGCAGCCGTTTGTGTCATGGTCGGGCAGCGTCCTCAGGGGCTGGGGGCTGGCCCGGACCCTCCCCGCTCAGGGGGCCCAGCGGGGCTGCTGCGCACGCTGCTGGGGTCCTCCTTCCCAGGCCCGATGGCGGGTGCCAGAAGACGGACGCGACCCTCACCAAGGATGCCGTGGACGGGCGGCTCAGCAGCGCGGGTGAGGCGGGCAGTGCCGGGAGGGAGACAGAGGGTGGGCAGCGGCAGGGCTGGCTCAGCCAGGGCCGTGCGGAGGGGACGGGGCGTCCTGAGCCGGCGCCCAGCTCAGCAGGCTCTCGCTTCCCCAGCCATGGCCCAGACCAACATCCGGGTGGCTTTCACCGACTACAAGCACTTCACCGTGTTGTACTCCAAGAGGCAGAAGGGGGACGTTAGGAACGTCTGGCTGCAGCTCTACAGCGGGTGATGGGTGGTGGGTGACCCAGCTAGAGGGGCAGCACTCCTGACGCATCCCTCAGCCCATCACGGCCTTCTCTGGGGGCCACATGCAAGGTTTGGTCTGTAGTGCCCACGTGCCCTTCGCAGCAAGCTCTGACTCGGTGGCAGGTGGAACCACCATCTCCCAGTGTCTCCTTGGGGTCCCTCCTCACCCCCTGCTCCCCACTTCCCCCTCCACCTCCCAGCCCTGCCCCTCTGCTCACCGGCCCTCCCTGCTCTCAGCCCGGGCCCCAGAGCCATTTCCTGAAGATGTCCAGAAGATGCAGCAGCTGGCACCCCAAGTGGGCTTGAACCCCAGCCAGGGCGCCCTGCTGCCCAAGTCAGGTGAGCGCTGTCCCCATGCCGGCTCAGGGCTGCAGGAGCTGAAAGACCCTAGACCCTGATGGTGGGAGGGCGGGGTCGGGGGAAGCCAGGGCCCAAGCCTCACTCCACTAGCCCCAGACCCAAAACAGGAGGACCAGGGGAGGGTGGGCGGTGCCCTGGCCGGTGCCCCTCAGGAGGGGGTCACAGGCCAGGACGCTTGGCTACTCTGGGGAGGGTGTGGCGCCTCCGGCCCGGGGAGGGGGCACTGGGTGTTTCCTCGGGCCCTGCTGTCTTCCACAGACCAGTGTACTGGCGCCCTCGCCTAGGTGAGTGCATGGGGCTGGCCCGGACCCAGTGCCCTGCTGGCACAGGGAGGCCCCTCCTGGCCGGAGGGCTGCACTCTGGGGGTCCTCCGTCCTGGGGCAGCGGCGGGGAGGGACAGAGTGGGGCCCCGGGGCGGGCCCAGGGAGGGCAGGAGGAGGTGAGAGGATGCCGCCCCTCCCCACAGCTGCTGCCCGGTTGGTTTGCAGTAAGGGACCCAGCCCAGGGGTTGGAGCAGAGGGCCGTGATGCTGGGGCTCAGGGTACCCAGCCTTCCTCAAAGAGCAGTGGCCTCCCTCCACCCCCAGGCCCCAGCACCATAAACTGTCTCGAAAAGCCAGCGCTGTGCTTTTCTTGGGTGGGGGCAGGAATAGGGGGATGGGGCAGAGGAACCGTGTGGACCGGGGCAGGGGCACTCTGGGTCCCCCTGAGGCCTGGGACCCGCCCGGAGAGGGACAGTGCGGGGCTCAGGCTCCAACCCTGCAGGGAGGCCCCTCCATGGCCGGTTCTGGGGACCCAGAGAGACTGGAGTGGGACCCCTCGCCACCCAGGCAGGTGTTAGGCCTGGGAGGGGCCGAGGCTTGGCCCCACGGGTGGTAGGATCCTCCATCGGTCACACGGGGCATCACAGTGGCTTCCCTGGGTCCCCCGCTGACACCGGGCGCCAGGCCAGGGGTGCTGCCCTCGCTCCGTGGCGCAGACCTGCGTGCAGTTGCCTGACAGAGCCGTGCCCGACCCACACCCAGCGCGTGCCTGGGCTCCACAGGCCCTGGGGTCCTCCCAAACCACAGCCCAAGCGGGTCTGCGCCACTTCCCACCCCAGGCAGCCTTCCAGCACCCCTTCTCCCTTGACCCCCGCCCTCAAGGCAGAGCTCTGTCCTGCCGTTGTGTTTATGAGGGAAACAGCGCGGTCCTTCAAGGACTGGTCCTGAAGAATTTGAGGGTAAAATGGCACAGTATCTGTCACGTAACTAGTTCAGAAAAAAATCGTACCAGATGTAAATATGTCAAAATGTTGATCGTGGTTCCATCTGGGTGACGGTTTGTTATACTATCATTTCTGCTCTTCAGTCGGTTAGACAGGTTTTCCTTAGAAACACAGCCCTGTCCTACCAGATGGCGAGGTCACTGGGATAAAGAGCCCCGCATCCCAGGGACCGCAGACAGCCCCTCCACACCTGCACCCAACACCTGGAGGCCCTGCCGCTGCCCCTGCCGCCTGGCCGACCTGCCGGCCTCTGGCCCTCTGCAGACACTACAAGGGCAGGGTCTCCCCCCTCCCCCCAGCCTGACACCAGTCCCACTATGTGGGAGCAGGTGGGAAGGCCCAGAGATCCAGCACCTCCCACCCAAGATGCCACCTGCCAACCAGCAGAGGCACCCGCAGAGAGAGACTGGTGATGAACTTGCAGTCTACTTGCTTTTTCTTCTGCCCTTTGCAGCGCCGTGTGGCTTGTGGGATCTCTCTTCCCCAACCAGGGATCAAAGCCGGGGCCCCCCGCAGAGCAAGTGCCGAGTCCTAAGCACTGGACCGCCAGGGAATTCCCAGTTGATCTATTGATCAACTGATCTATCGGTTGTCATTCAGCTTCCACGTGGAACAAGAGAAGGCGTGGTGGAAATTGCCCAGGAGCAGGGATTTAAGGCGGGGCGGGGTGGGGGGAAGAGTCTCCAGCAGGCTCTCAGTCCCTTCTTTCCCCACTAACTCATCCCTCCCATGTCCCCTGGGAAGGATCTGGAGTGAGGAGATGCAGTTTTCCCTTCACGGCCCATTGGGGGGCAGCCCCCCAGGGCCCCTCTGTACCCAGGAAGGGTCATGCCCCTGGCAGCTGCGGATCAGCCCAGTCCTGCATGCCCTGCTCCGGCCACACGGGGGCAGACTTCAGCCAGTTCTCCACCCGGAAGCCCAGGGCTGCGTGTGTAAGATCTGTCGGCTGGCACCCTTCTCTGGTCACAACTACTCCAGTGGGTCCCATCTCGCTGAGAGTAAAGGCCAAAGTCCTTAGGTGGCCAACAAAGGCCCCCCGATCGGCCTTCTTCTGACCCCACCACTATGACTGCCGAGAGCCGGGTCGCTGGAAAAAAGATTGTCCCAAACCTCGGTGCTTCGGGTGCCTTCAGCCCTCGGACCAGCCTTTCCAACGCCCTCCTGACCTCCAGAGACGGGGTCCGAGGAACCACGGGGGCTCTTCCCAAACCTCCCTCTTTTTTTTTTTTTTTTTCTTAAACTGTGTCTTTTCTTTCTTTCCAACCCTCCCTCTCAATCAGCTGAGGTTGGTTACTGATTATTTACATTGACGAGAGAAAAAGACAAGTTTTGTTTGAGCTAAACTGAGGACTGCAGAGCAGGAGACCCAGATTCAAGAGGCACTTGACTTGTGTTCCCCAGGCTACACAATGGGGGAGGCCTATACAAGCAAAAACTGCAAAGTTACATAAATTGTCAAGAATTAAAATTGGAGCTGGCAATAAGGAAGGTGCTTATAAAGCAAGAATTGGTTGGGCTCCAAAATGCATAGTTACCAGGAGAGATCTTGAGATTATAAGGTTGCTGGTGGCAGCAACTAGCAGACACTATTTTGAGAACAGTTGCTCATGACCTTGAGTCTGATAGAGTTCAGAAAATTCAAGTTCCCAGTGATGCAGGAACTGTCTGAAACCACATCCTCAATGGCCACCCGGCTCCAATTCGGATGCCTGAACCACAGTTTAATACCTTGTCAGAACAACAAACATCAAACGTGACAAGGGTACATTTCTTCAAGTTTTCAAAACAGATTAGCAGGTACACAGCAAGTCAGCATGACCTTGGCGTCTGGGAAGGGAATCTCATCTTCGAAGGAATACTGGCATTGGTGTTGCTGGGGAGGGGGCAGCACGCAGCATTTATGCCTGTATTCAAAGTGGACATTCTAAACAATCAGGTAATGCATTTTTCTCCTCCTCCTCCTTATTTTTTAATGGTTAAAGCAGATACACAGTTTACGTTTGACGGGCCATAAGACAGGCTGTTCTAATTAGCATAAAGTTCAAGCCAAAGTATGTCTAATCCAGAATAACTTCCCCATACCTTAATATGTGAACATTTCTTTCATCAGCTGTGTCTTCCCGAAGTGCTTGTTTAATCCTTTCTGTGTTGAGTGTGCTCTTGCTGTTTTCGCTGTTCTAAGACACAAACTTTAGATGGGAAATTCCTGAGAGATCTCCCTCCTACCCCTCCTTGTCAGGTGAATGTGACCTCAGTAGGCTTCCCATATGTGCACTCTCCCTTCCACATGGGACAGGACACCCAGGAAAGGTCCTCCCTGGCATCAAGGGACGAAAGTTGCTGAATCTGTAAAACACCTGACCGTTGATCAGCAATGCTTTTAGAGAAAGCATGTAAAGATGAATAAACAGAAACCTTATTTAAAATAGTCAGGAGGCCACAAGGGGGAGACCTCACCCCCTACTGTGCAGCCTCAATTGCAGACCAACAGGAAGGTTACTAGTTACTACCCAGCGGGAGGAAGGAAGATTTTTCTTCCCACCCAGCAACAGCCCAGGCAGTGAGAGACCAGCACAGTTCAGCCAATGAAAAGCCACCACACTTCCAACTCCCAGTTTCCTCCAATGGACTCTTCTGTTTAGAACACCCCACCCCATTCCCCCTTCTCCTCTATAAAAGAGTTTCCTGTCTTTTGTTCTTCAGATTTGCCTGTGGTTCCCCTAGATCGCTCGCACTGAACTGTGATTCTTTGCTGTTCCCAAATAAACCCACGCGCTGGCAAAATAACTGGCTGTTTTATCGTTTTAGGTCAACACATACAAGAAAACACAAGTCCAGGGATTAAGGACCTGATACCTTTAGAGGTCATTATTCAGCCTACCACATTCTACCTAGAGACAACTTCCTAGAGCCTGAGCACTGTGCCTGGAGGGACTAATGTTTAAGGCTGTCCCGGGGGCTGGTGACTCCACACTCACATCTCTGGGCCTGATCCTCTAGACTAGGGTCTTGTGCACACAGCAGCTTTCATTCATCTCCATCAGACATACAGCCACATCGAGAACACATAAGACAAAGGAGAGGCGCCCATGTTCTCTCCAGTCCTGCCTTAGGCCAATCATCTCGGAAAGGGCACTTCTTTCTTTTTTTTTTTTTTGGCTGCGTCAGGTCTTAGTCTCAGCACGTGGATCTTTCTTTGCAGCGCGTGGGCTTCTCTCTAGCTATGGCGTGCGGGTTTTCTCTCTCTAGTTGTGGCGCATGGGCTTAGCTGACCCTCAGCATGTGGGATCTTAGTTCCCCAACCAGGGATCGAACCCGCGTGCCCTGCATTGGAAGGCGGATTCTTTACCACTGGAACACTGGGGAAGTCCTGGGAAGGGCATTTCTACTCTTCCTAAATGATCCCTCCCCTCCTCCCCTGCACCTCTCTCCAACTCCACTCTGAGCCCCTGGCCCAGCCTTCATCAGCTCCGTCCTGAGGAACTCAGCAGCCCTCTACTAGTCTCCCTGCCCCCCTCACCTCCACTCCCACAGCCCTTCATCCCCTCACCTCATGGGCTTTATACACATAAATCAGAAGTGCCACTCCCCACCCCAGCCCTGCTTAAACCCTCCAAAGGCTCCCCACTCTGCATTCACTCACTTACATATTTATTTAATATCTCTATGTGCCAGCCACTGTTTAGACACTGAGGATACAGTGGCAAATAAAACAGACAGAATGTTCTGCCCTTGTGGACCTCATGGGGAAAATTGGCAATAAACAGGATAAATAGCTATATTAGTCACCTACTGCTGAAGACCAGATTACCCCAAAACTCAGTGGCTTTAAACAACAGCGTGTATCGTCTCCCAGTTTCTGAGGGTCAAGAATCCGGTCCTGGGTGCTCTGGACCCTCCGGCGCAAAATCCCTCGTGAGGCTGCAGTCGAGCCACTGGCTGGGGCTGTGTCCTCATCAGGAGGCTCAGCTGGGAAGGGGTCTGTGTCTCAGCTCCCTCACTGGTTGTTGGCCAGGCCTTGGTCCTTTGCCACAGGACTCCTCATGTCATGGTGAGCAATTCCAGAGAAAGAAGGAAGCGACAGCCCATCACCTCTGCCACATTCTATTGGCTAGAAGCCAGTTACTCAATCCAGCCCACACTCAGGGGAGGGCTACACAAAGGTGCAAACGCAGGAGGCACGTGGTTGGGGGCCATCTTGGAGGCTGCTGTCACAACACGTTAATCAGAATGTGCTCTGTGTGGTGACAAGCTGGAAAACAAATAGATGAAAGAGGAGAGAGGACATGAGATGTTGGGCCGGGTGCTGAAACTGGATATAAAACAATAGGGAAGGCCTCACCGAGAAGGTGACTTTTGAGTAAAGACCTGAAGGGAGTGAGTAACCCTGGGGAAAGGGGGTGCCGGGCAGAGGCAACAGCGAATGCAGAGGTCCTGAGGCAGGAGCCTCATGGGAAGGGGCTTGTCGCGTGAGGGTTGTCGAATAGGAGGAAGTAGGCGACGAGGCAGGCCTGGCTGCAGCCATACTTGAAGTGCATTAGCACAGCCTACAAACCCACCTGCCGCCCTCGTACGCCTCGCTGCGGGCACCCTGGCCTCTAGCAAAGCCCTGAGCACAGCTGCTCTGTGTCCACTATGGGGCTTCCGCAGAGGCTGCCCCCTCTGCCTGGTACCCTCTTTCCTGGCACGCTCCACCTCTCTCTTCTTCCAGGTCACATGCACTTGGCACGACCTGAGGATTGCATGTTTCGTTTGTTTATTTGTCCATCCCATGAGCTTTCACAAGCTCCAGGAGATCAGAGACCTTGTCTCTTGATCAAGGTGTGCCCAAGGCCCGGGACAACACGAGGCAAAGAACAGGTGCTGGGTAAACATTGTGGAATGCATGAACGAGTGGCGGAAGCCTGTTGCACCGGTTACCGTACTTTATTCACTTCCGTATTTTGACTTGTTTCAGTTGACAATAGGAAGCAGGGGGCGAGGGGGAGGCCGCAGCGATCAGCGAGGGGGTCAAAGCAGTCTGAGGCCAGAGCAGTGGCCGGCGCGGCCTGCGCCCAGTCAGGGTTTGCGCGAAGGGGGGGAACCCCGGACTCAGCGGGGACAGAGCAGGGGGTAAGGCTCAAAGAGACCCCCAAGTGTGCGCGGGGTCCCGAGTCCCGGACCGCGCTGCACAGCCCTTGTCCAGTAAAACAGCGCTCAGGACACGCCAGCCCAGCCCGGGAGCCCCGCCCTGCGCACGAAGCTCCGCCCCCACCGGTGCAAGCACCGTCCCATGACTAAGGCCCGCCCAGCTAGCCCCGCCCCGCGCAGGCCCCTTGGGCACCGCTCGGCACTGCCCCCCCACCCCCAGCCCGCCCACCGGCACGGGCCCCGTCACCGCTCCGGAAGCCTTCCGCCCGCGCAGGCGCCCTAGGTCCCGAGGCGGCCCTGGATCCGCGGCCCTGGATCCGCCCGGTCCCTCCGCCTGCCGAGGTGCCATGGTTCCGCCGCCGCTGTCGCCGCCGCTCTGCACGCTGCCGCCCGGCCCCGGACCCCCGCGCTTCGTGTGTTACTGCGAGGGGGAGGGCAGTGGGACGTGGGAACGCGGCGGCTTCAACCTCTAGTGAGTAGCGGGGTCCGCAGAGCTGCGGGCAGCTCTGCGGGCGGTCCTGCCTGACAGCCCCTCCCCTGCAGTGTGACGGACGCCGCGGAGCTTTGGAGCACCTGCTTCACGCCGGACAGCCTGGCGGCCCTCGTGGGTAACAGGGCTCCTGGGCGGCCGGCAGCCTCCAGCACCCCACGCCCGCAGCGCGGACCACGTGTGGGATCGAAGGGGGCGGCCTGGGATTCCCCGGAAGGGTCAAGACACCCTTCCCACGGCTCTGTAGCTGTAGTCCTAAGATTGGTCCCGGGCGGCTCTGGGTCGGGCAGGTTTGGGGTGTCCCCAGTAGTCCTAGGGTGTCAGGCACCTGGTGACCAGTCCCTGTGCCCTGTAGAAAGCCCGTTTTGGCCTGAGTGCGGCTGAAGACATCATCCCCCGCTTCAGGTGAGCCCCTGAGCGGGGGGGGGGGGGGGGCGGGCAGGTGGGATGGGGAGCGAGCGGCGAGTGGGTCTGGTCACAGCGCTCAGCCCGCCTCCTTTCCCAGGGCAGCCTGCCAGCAGCAAGCTGTGACTCTCACCCTGCAGGAGGACAGAGCATCCCTGACCCTTTCAGGGGGGCCCTCTGCGCTGGAATTTGACCTCTCCAAGGTGCCGGGCCCAGAGGCAGCCTCCAGGTTGCAGGCACTGACACTGGGCCTGGCAGAGCGCGTGTGCAGCTTGGAGCGGCGGCTGGCAGGTAGGGTGGGGGGTAGGCATCTCACACTCTCACTGGGGTCCCCCTGCTGGGGCCTCCATTCCTGCTTTCTCCCCAGCTGCTGCAGAGGAGACGGCCACCAGCCCCAGGAAGAGCTCCCGGCAGGTGGGCCCTCCACTCTTCTTACCAGGTAAGGCCTGTCACCTGTGACTTGGGTTGGGTGACTCAGTTTCCCCAGAACAAGCCTCAGGCTCCAGAGAGAGGATCTGTCTGTGTGGAGAAGGGGTTGTGGCCCTGGCATCCTGCTAGATTCAGGAGCCCCCCTCCCTCATCCTCTTTTCCCCAGACCTGGATCTTCAGAGAGGTGGCCCTGGACCTGGGGTCAAGAGGCGGTGTCCGGGAGAGTCTCTCATCAACCCTGGCTTCAAGAGGTGCCCACCCACTTCCCCTCCCTCTTGTGCCCAGGGTCCATCCCTGGACCCTGCCCGCCCATCCACACCCCCATGGTGTCATTCCCTCTTCTTTCCCAGCAAGAAACCAGCTGGTGGTGTAGACTTCGACGACCCCTGAAGGTGCAGCAAAAAGTGTGACCGTTGGGAGGCTGCTTGCCGGGGGAGGGGCAGCCCCTGGGACCCTCCCACTGGCACCTGCCCATCTCGCTGCCAGGCAGGAACAGGCCTGCTCCTCCAGCCCCTTCCCCATCAAATAAACATCTTCATCTGGCGGAGGTCACAGAGGTCAGGGCCAGGCTCTGGTTCCTGGGGGCTGGCTCCAGGAGAGGGTTCGGGGATTGCCAGGCCTGCGGTCTGGGCGTGGGGCCGCATCAGGCTCTGCGCTCCATGGTGGAGCTGCCCGGCTCTCCCCACCTGCCCAGCTGTCCCTGCCTGGCCAGCCCAGGAGCCAAGAAGGCTGTGTGAGGTGGGGCTGGGGCTCTGAGAGGCTAGAACTCTGCTCTTGTCCCTCCGGGCACACGCCTCCCTGATGCAAACCCCACGTGATGACCAGGGAGATGGGGGTGGGCTGCCTGCCACCTGGGGCAGAGCTGAGGAATGTGGGCCCGCCCTCCGGCCTGGAGACCCGAGTTGCCCAGACGGGGCTCTGTTCCCCACCCTCCCCAGCCATCCTGCCGCCCCACCCTGGCCTGACTGGTTTGGGAGTCCAATCTAGTCCCGCCATCCCAGAGGAGTGGGGGTATGGACCGCGCGCCGCCCACTGGGTTCTCTGCCGGTCCTTCCTGGCTGTCATCTGGAGCTGAACGTCTCACGGTAGGAGTTTGGGGGTGGCAGAAATTGCGGGGCTTCTGGTCCTCGTATGTCCGTACCCGCTCACTGAGGCAGAGATACCTTTCTGGGGCTGCAGAGGAGCGGGCGGGTGGCGGGGAAGGCGGGCGCGCTAGCGGGGGCGCACGGCGGGCCGGTAGGCCGCCAGGATCTTGGCGCTGTGTGGACACGTGTAGTTGAACTCCTTCTCCTGCAGGGCGTTGTCCGGGTAGCGGCGGACGCCACGCGGCTCAGAGGGGATGGGCGCCTGGCGGAAGTGCGCGCACACTGTCTGCGGGCGAGGGGCGCGGTCGGGGTCTCCTCGAGGGTCAGCCCCGCCCCGCCTTGCCCCGCCCGGCCCGGCGCTCCCGTTCACGATGTGCAGCTTGGGCAGCAGCCCGCAATCGGCCAGCGTGAGCTGGTCGCCGTCCACAAAGCGGTGGCGTGACTCGCGCAGCTGCGGCTCCCGCGCCAGCTCGTGCTCCAGGGGTGCGCGCAGGTAGCTGTCCAGCTTGGCAAGGGCGCACAGCAGATGCTGGTACAGGGCTGGGGGCGGGGAGCGCCACTCCCCCCAGCCTCGCCGTGTCTCCGGACCCTCCTCGCCATTGTCCAGCGCGGGCACCGGGTTCTTGATGAAGGCGGAGAATTTGTGAAAGACGTCATTGCCCGCCGCGGTGGACTCCCTGTATCTGGGCGCTAGGCTGGGGAATCTGAGGGTGGAGGGGTTTTGGGTCAGACCCTTGCCCCCCTGCGGGGCCCCGGGCTCTGTCCTGGGGGTGTCCTGCCTGAGGGCCCCATCTTGCCCCTCCCGCCGCACCGGGCCCTCACTCTGGGGGGCCCAGCGTCTCCTCCAGAAACTCCTCAATCTGCAGCGTGTTCGTTTTGGCGTCGCCGTCATACAGCAGGACGGGCAGCTGCAAACCCGGGGCAAAGTCTTTCAGCACATCTGGGGACCTGTGGGCACAAGGCAGGGTGCAAGCGGCTGGCCCAAGGAGAGCCAGAGCCAGCAAGGGGTTCCCGGGGCAGGGGCTCACCTGCGGGGTCCACGGTGGCGAGTGTGAAGGACACGCCCTTGAGAAGCAGGATCGTGGGGCCTCTGACAAGAAGGGCGGTGACCCATGCTCTTGCCGTCCTCGCTCGCCTGGATGGGAGGTGTAGAGGGGCGTCGGAGCAGGGAGCACACCCAGGAGCCCCGCGGCCTCCCACTGCCAAGAGGTTGGAGCAAGGCTAGGGCTCCAACTCAGTTGGGCATGGCCTGGACAAGCGGCCGCGAGGGCCCTTCACTCGGTCCCTGGGAGGCGGGGAGGGCTGCAGCGCTGCTGAGAGCTTGGAGGCTGGGCCAGGGCACCGGGGTGAGGGGTGCAGAGGCGGGAGCCTGGCTCTGGAGCTTGGTCCCTCGGCCCTTATCTTCAGAGCCTGGGCTGAGGCCAGGCCCCTGGGCACCAGGGCCTGCAGGCTGGTTGCAAGGGTGGGGTGGGACAAGTGAGCTGTTTCCGGAGTGATTCATCTTGCTGCACCGGGTACCTCGCTGCCCTGGGCTTCAAGGGTGGGAGGAGGCCAGGCCCTGGCAGCCCCTCACTGGAGTCGGCAGATCTAGGCACGGAGGGCTGCCTAGCACAGCCCCTCTTCTGCTGCATTGACCCCAGCCTCCACCGGGCCTCGGCCACTGCTCCCTGCCTGCTACATGCCCGCCCCCCAGGGGCTTTTCCTTCAGGAGGGCTGGGCTGTGCCCGGGAGTCAAGGCTGGGAGTCAGGGTGAGGCCACCCCAAGCCCTTTGGGAATGGTTCACCGGCGCTACCCCCCTCGCCGCCCCCACCTACGCAGCCTCCAAAGGACAGCCGGAGCCTAGCGCAGGGCAAGGGGTGTGGACCCTGCCGCAGAGACCCACCCTTCAGCCCTCCCTGCAGCCCGGCCAGCCCGGCACCTTGACAAACGGCCGGAGCTTGGGGGTCTCGGCCATGGTGGGGAGCTTCGAGCGGCGGCAGGGCCTGGGCGAGGACCTGCGGAGCTCCCTTTAAGGTTCCCCGAGCGCCCCGCCCTCCCCGGCCCGGGAGCCCGCCCTGTGGAGTCACCTAGGTGGCGCACAGGCAGCCGGGGCTCAGTGCCGGCGTGAGGGTGTGACCGTGAAGAACTGAGTGCTCGGAGCTGGACAGGGGGCGCCACGGCTTGGGGGGCGGAGTGGTGGAGGAGGCCAGTGCACTGGCAGTCGGGGTGCCGACCTGGGAGGGGTCAGCTCTGGAGCAGGGCCACCCCCACCGTGAGCCCAACAGCCCTCCCTGCAGTGGACACCCCCGCCGCCTGGGAGGGTTCCCAGCCCAGAAAGCCGAGGAGCGGGAGGGAGATGAACAGCCCGGCCACAACCTGTTTCCGCATCTGCCGACCAGGGCACTACAGGAGTGATAAATCCTTGGGAGGGACGCCCCCCTCCCACCTACTGATCTCCGTTAGATACAGCCCCCCCACCCACCCAGGGCAGGGCCCACATTCCAAACGTGCCAAAGGGGGACAGGCCGGGCTCAGGTGTCTTTACCCGGCCGACCCCACACCCCTGCCCCTCCGTTGTGGGCTCAGGGCGGGTTTCTCCCTGCTCTTAACCTTTAAAAGAAAGAACGCTTGGGGTTAGAAGCCACAATCTTCTGAGCCATGGGGACCTCCCCCACCCCCACCCCCGCTCCACCTCCCCACTCTGGACTGGAAGGAGGCCAGAGGAGGCTGGGGGAGTTGGCAGCCTCACAGGTGTGCGCCTGCCGGCCCGCCCCGATAAGGGCCACTCACCGGACTCCCCACACTGGGGCACAGCGCCTGGGGGGAGGGGGGCTTAGGGAGGAGCCCTCGTGGGGCAGCGCCACCTGGTGGCAGCCAGTGGGATATGCACGGCGCCTTCCACTCCAAGCCCAGGGCCTCGTTCCCCCGTCCAGGCCCCCAGCCCGACAGACCCGCTCCGGAAGCAACAGTGCTCGGCGCTCCTGGCAGAGGCCCCCTGAGCCTGGGGCTGACCTCGACATACTGTGGAGTTGGGGCCTGGGCCTCCGGACCACCTGCCACCACCATGGGGCTGCTCCTCAACCACTGGGGGGTCACCCGGCTCCCTTCCTGCTTCCCTGTCACCCTGGAGAAGGGCCGAGGCCCCTCCACACCTGCGCCTGTTCGCCAGACGCCCTGTGTGTAAGGGCAGCCTTACACGTCCGTTAGAAAAATGGTGGCATGGACAAATGAACACGCGGTGCAGAAAAAAGGAAATAAAACACCAACAGAACACATGACAGTGTGTTCCGTTGTACACGTATTTCAAGAACAAATCAGAACAACATACATACGGTTTGTGGTTACAACGGACAGAAATGTGGCAACCGTATTCTTGGCAAGTGTGTGGGGAAACACACTCTGGGGGCGTCCCTGGTAAACAGCACCTGCCATCGAGTCGTCCCCATAAGTACACGAGGGACAAACGGGTGTGCAGTCCCCCAGGGTGTGGCAGAGTCCTGGTGCGTCCACAGGAGCGGACGGAGGAGGTGGGTCTCACTAGCCTGAGATTTACTAGTGTTACGGGCTGAACTGTGTCCCCTCCAAATTCATATGAAGTCCTCCTCCCCAAGCCCCCACCCCTCAGAATGTGACCATATTTGGAGAGGGGGTCTTTACAGAAGTAATCAAGTTAAGATGAGGTCATTACGATGGGCCCTAACCCAACATGGCTGTGTCCTTCCTTATAAAAAGGGGAGGGACTTCCCTGGTGGTCCAGTGGTTAAGAATCTGCCTTCCAAAGGAGGGGACGTGGGTTCGATCCCTGGTCGGGGAACTAAGATCCCACATGCTATGGGACATCTAAGCCTGCGCGCCACAACTACTAAGCATGCAGGCCACAACTAGAGAGAAGCCCACGCACCGCAACAAAGATCCCGAATACCGCAACTAAGACTCGACACAGCCAAAAATAAATGTTTTTAAAATATATACATACATATAAAAAAGGAGGAGATGTGGACACACACACAGAGGGAGAGAGCCCTGTGTGAAGGTGGAGGCAGAGACGGGGGTGACGCTTCCAAAGCCAAAGGCCCCAAAGAAAATCACCAGCACCTGGGAGGGCAGGGAGCAGACCGTCCGTCACAGCCTCGGGAGGCTCCAACCTGCCGACACCTCGATCTTGGGCTTCTGGCCCCCAGACGGTGAGAGTAAATGTCCCGTGTTTAAGGCGCCGCGGTTATGGTACTTTGTTATGGCAGCCCTAGCAAACCAGGCCAAGTGGGAGAGAGAAGCCCAGCAAACTGAAAAACTACCCGTTAGCGTATGTCACTCTGAGCCTATGCTTGTGTGTATCCTGCAGGCGGACCTCTGACGAGTACAAACACAGACATTCAATTTGTGTTTTCTATCTGCTTGCATTGTATGAAATTTCTACCATGTTTCAAAGTTTTTAAAGAAGTGAGAACAAACCTATGGTCACCAACATTAACCAGACCACAACCTACCCCAGCCACTTGCATTGTCCCTAAGTAACCCTCCCCGCCGCCCCTGCCATATCCACAGAGCAGACCCCCGAGGGCCCTTGGGGGCTGCCCGCCCTCCTCCTTTCACAGTCCCTGCGGGGCAGGCTCGGCCCGGCCCCAGGTCCCAGGGCTGCTGTCCTCGACCTCATCCCTGTGTTGGAAACTCTTCTCTCCTGAGCCCCGGCCTGCAGGGGGAGGAGCCCACCCCTCCTCCAGGCTGACCCAGTCACCCTCCCCCACCCTGAGCCTGGCCTACGGGGCAGGGGCTGTACCTTGGCATCCAGCGCGCCCACCTTCACCCCACACCCCACCCTACACACGCAAGCTGGCCTGAACTTTTTTGTTTATTTATTTAAAACAAACATCTGTGCGCTCCGTACGGGTCTGGCTCCCGGGTGGGCGGGCAGGGGGCCAAGCTGGGTGGGAGAGCAATGGCAGCTGGAGGGGGTGGGGAGGGGGTCCGGCCCCTCACCGGGCCGGTGGGGCCAGCTTCCCCGTTTCTGCTACCCGGCCCACTGCCCCGTGGCAGCCCCCTCCCCGGCCCACGACAACGGCTCCCTGCGGGAAACCAGGGTGACGAGGCTCGTCCTGAAGCAAAATGAACAGGCGCCTTGGGTGGGACCTAACCCCGCCCCCCAGTCCCAGGCTGGCAGCAGCCACCATCCAAACTGGGTGTAAGAGAACCGCCCGTTCAGGAGGGCAGGGGTCGCCAGGAGTCGGGCGGTACCTGGCAGCCCGGGTCACCCCGAGGCCCTGGGGGTGGCGGGCAGAGCTGCGCAGGGGCGAGGGGCTGGCCAGACCCCAAGGCTTTAAGGCAGAGCAGGCTGAGGGTGTGCGCAGCCGGGGCCGGGCCAGCCTTTGGCACAATGAGGGGAGGGCGGCGCGATGGCCGAGGAGGGCGGGGCTGGAGGGGCCTGAAGCCCTTGGTCCTGGACCTCCCACTCCAGGGCCTTGGCAGGCGGGCACTGGGGGCACAGGGCGGGACCTCAGCCACCGCCCGACTTCCGTTCCCACAGCGTGACCTTGACCCAGCTCCGGCGGTCAGCAGAGCGTGTCCGTGTTGAAGGAGAGCTGGGCCTGGGGGACAGGGACAGACCTGGCTCGGGCGTCTGGCCCCGCGCCTGCCCCAGGCTGGCCCGCACGCAGGCTCTGCCACCTCTGTCCGCCCTGAGCTTCCTCTCAGTGGTCAGCTCCCCGCGTGGCCTGCCTCTGCCAGGCCGGTGGCTGCTGTCCCCAGGCTCTGCTCCCCCCACCTCCGCTCTGCCTGTCTCTGAAACGCCCTCCGTTTCCAAGCTGTGCTGGGGTCTGTGTGGGTCTGTCTCCTCTGCCTGTGCCCAGGCCTCCTGTGTCCACTATAGTCCTGAGCATCAGGCGGGTCCCTCTGTTCCCGTGAGCTCAGGACAGCAGGGGCCCCGGGGCCACCCCCCAGCCCCACCCCCATCCCGAGCCTGGGCTCTCTGGCCGGCTTGGCTGCCCTGACGCTAGGACGCTGCTCACCCTCTCCTCCTCGAAGCTGACGAGGCCCTCGTCCTCCGTGTCCAGGTCCTCGGGCTCGTCGGCCACGAGCGCCCGCAGCTCAGTGGTGGGGGGCCGAGGCCGGAAAAAGCTGAGTAGGCGGCCCAGCGGGGACTGCAGCGCCGAGGGTGGCTCTGTCTCCTGCGGCTCCAGGTTGTCGCTCTGCTTCTTGGCGAAGTTCACGAACACCTGGTGGGCAGGGACAAGGGGGTGGGTGGGGGCCGGCCCAGGTGGGCCCGGCGGCCCCGGCCCAGGGCACTCACGTTGTCCAGGGTGGTCTGGCTGACTGAGTAGTCCTCGAGGCCCAGCACGCCCACCACCTGCTCCATCTTGCTGAACACCTGCGCCAGCGAGATGTGCTCCGACTTGAGCTGGTACTGCACCTTTGTGTGGTGCCGCTCCTGGCGGGGCACAGCGGTCAGAGGCCGCTCGGGCAGTGCCGCCCCGCCCCGCCCCTCGCGCCGGGGCTCCGCCCACCTTGAGCACGGCCTCCGGGAAGTTCCTGCTGAAGAACCGCACCACGTCCTTCACGTTCTGGCTGCCCTTGGTCCTCACCGTGATCATGTAGCCGTCCCCGAACCTGCGGGACAGGCCCTTGGCCCCAGCCCGGCCGCCAGGGGAGCCCAGCCTCCGCCTGCCGCGGCCCACAGCCCACCGTCCCTGCCGCCCCCGCTGCTCACCGGTTCTTCAGATGCTGGATGCTGCCCAGACAGCGCAGGCGCCCGTTCACCATGATGGCCAGCCGCGTGCACAGCGCCTCGCACTCCTCCATGCTGAGGGCGAGACGCACAGGCTGGCACGGGAGGTGGGGAGGGCCCGATGTGCGGGGGCGGGGGGGGGGGGGCGGGGGCGAGCGGACCTGTGCGAAGTGAGCACCACCGAGCGCCCTGTCTTGATGAGGTCCAAAATGAGGTTCCAGAGGAAGCGCCGAGCCTTAGGGTCCATGCCTGTGGTAGGCTCGTCCTGGGGGTGGTGCCAGGCTCAGCTGCTGCACCCGTTCACCCCAGCTAGCCCCACCAGCTGCTTCCTGCCCAGCCCCCCAGGAAGACAAAGGTGGGGCACCCGACCCCCATCCCACCCCCGGGCCCCCCACAAAGACAAAGGCGGGGCACTGGACCCCCATCCCACCCCCGGGCTCACCAGGAAGATGAATGCAGGGTACCCGATGAGGGCAATGGCTGTCGACAGCTTCCGCTTGTTGCCTCCGCTGTAGGTACCGGCAGGCTTGTCCGCGTACTTGGTCAGCTCCAGCTTCTCCAGGGCCCACTTCACCACCTGGGAGGGAGAACGACGTCAGGGGCCCACGCTACACACCAGCCCCCTCCCCCGCCGGGCGACCCTCACCCGGGCCTCATCCTTCCAGGGGATGCCGCGGAGCCGCGTGTACAGCTGCAGGTGCT